TTTTTAAAAAAAACTAACTTTCTTAGTGAAAGAATCAATTTTTTTAAAGAAAATAAATACCATATCTATTCTCAATTAAGAAGAGGTGTAAATGAGTCGAGCGAAACTCGAGCTCGGGCTCAAACTTTTACCGGGTTGAGCCGACATTGAATAAACAAACTCAAGCTCGATATGTTCATTAGACGAGCTGAGCTGAACTCGAGTCGATGAACTCACTAGGGGTTCACTTTATCAGATCTATTAAAATACTAATAAAGATGCCATTTGGAGAATCATTAATCTATCTATACTTATATTAAAAGTCATACTATTTACCAAAAATAGTAGCAAGAAAGTCAACTCACATTTAATGCATACTTTGTTTAGAAATTTTTTACTATATGCATTAATTGCTTGCATATATACATTTCCTATTCAAATATAATCAAAAAGATTTTTTCTTTAAATAATTTTATTAACTTCTGCAATGATTTTACTGATATATATTATAATCCATATTTGTCGATAGTACTTTTTAATTTTTATTTGAGTATATAAAAAATAAATATTTTTTTTAAATTATTTTTTATTTATCATTTAAGAGATAATGATCACATCATTAAATGATATTACTGATGGCCAGATAATAAATTAAAATACATTAACTATTCTTTAAAATTTTGGCATGTTATTTATTTGTATCTATACTTATTATATAAGGTATCCTATTTACCAAATTTAGTAGATTGAAAAGTCAACGTAATTAATGCATTGTTATTTCTATCCAGAATTTTATTTAATTATTTTATTTATTTGTCTTATATCCCATAAATCAGTTTAAGAAAAAAAATCCCATAACATCTGACAAGTAAAAAAAAAAGACGTAAAATCTTCACTAAAACAAAAAGACTTTTATTTATTTGTCTTATTCCATATTAACATTGATTTTATTAAAATAAATCTGATTAAATCAGTGAAGTCAAAATTTGTACGTAAAGTCTATCTATCCAAAAAAAAAAAAGTCAAATTCAAAATTCCTTATCTAATTACTTTTTTTTTTTCTTATCTAATTCATTATTTTTCTTATCTAATTTTTTTTTATTATCTAATTGTATGAAAATCTGTTCTGATTTTGTTCAATCCTCTAATTGTATTTGTATTATATTCCATAAAATCGGTTTAATAAAAAAAATCCCATAACATCCGATAAGTAAAAAAAACAAAGTACGTAAAATCTTTACTAAAATAAAAAGGCTTTATTTATTATCTAATTTATTATCTAATTGTATAGAAATCTGTTCTGATTTTATGGTACGTACTACAAATTGTGCACCCGTGTTCAGGAGCTACTTAACAGGCAAGCTCTGTGGAAATGACTCATTTAGTGCTTATGTCCCGTGCATACGGTATGTATTTTTATTACACATACTAGAAAATTGTGCACCCCGTGCATCGCACGGGCTCTGTACTAATAAATAACCTTAAAATTATGCACCCGTGCATCACCCGTGTTCACATTTTGGCCTATTACAGGTCACGTACTATATATATCCCGTACATTTTTTTTATTCATTTATATAATTATAAGAATGGATAAATGACCTTAAAATTGTGTACCCCGTGCATCGCACGGGCTCTGTACTAGTACTTATATTAAAGGGAAACCTATTTACTAAATACAGTAGGTAGAAAAGTCAAACTTAATTAATGAACTTCTAATTTTATCAAGTAATAATTAATGCATTTATAATTTAGTAGATTGAAAAGTCAGCGTAATTAATGCATGTAGATTGGAAAGGTAATATATTTGTCTTGTATTGTTTTTAAATAAAATGGTTAATTTCTTTCAATCTTTATTTTATATCGCACAAGCCTATATGTCTATCATCTACACTATTGTATACATAAAAAATGAGTAATATTAATATCTTTCATAATAGTAATATCAGAGTATCAGACCTCAGACTACTAAAATATTGAATTTAAACAAACTAAAATTATTAGACCATAACATTTTATTTTTTATTTTTTCAAATGGCTAGCTTAATAGAACTATGAATCAGTGATCTACCTATGAATCTCAAATAGATAATAGATATAAATTATTGTAGAACAAGCAATAAATATTCAGAAAGTAATAATAATAATAATAATAATAATAATAATAATAATAATAATAATAATAATAATAATAATAATAATAATAATAATAATAATAATAAACCCTTTGTATTGTTTTTGAGACTCCCAAGAGTTGAACAATTTCGGCGACCTAAACATTTTTTAATAGGCATTGAGTTAAAATAAAAAATTAAAATCGAGAAGTGCAATTTCTAATAATATTATAATTAATGATGATAAATAACATAGTAAAAATTTGCATAATAATGTGACAACCATAATGTAATATTATATTAAACTCACATAAAATTTAATGATATCTTAATTTTCACCTACATAACTTTAAAATCAACAACCCTTATACTTCTTCAATAAATATACATTACTTTCATGTAAAAATTAAATACTTTACAAACAATATAAATAAAAGTAAAACAAAGACATATTATAAAATAAAGATTGAAAGAAATTAACCATCTTTATTTGTCTTATATCGCACAGGTCTATATGTCTATCATCTATACTTATATAATATAATAAGGTATCATATATTCCTATTTACCAAATGTAGTAGGTTGAAAAGTCAACATAATTAATGCATTACTATTTCTATCCAGAATTTTATTTATTTATCTTATATCCCTTAAAATCGGTTTAAGAAAAAAAAAACCTCATAACATCCGACAAGTAAAAAAAAATGACGTAAAATCTTTACTAAAATAAAAAAATACTTTATTTATTTGTCTTATTCCATATTAACATCGTTTTGTCAAAACAAATCCCATAAAATCAGTGAAGTCAAAATAGTCTATCTATACTAAAAAGAAGGCAGATTCAAAATTCTTTATCTAATTCCTTTTTTTTCTTATCTAACTCATTCTTTTCCTTATCTAATTCCTTCTTATTATCTAATTGTATGGAAATTTGTTCTGATTTTGTTCAATCCTCTAATTGTATTTGTATTATATCCCATAAAATCGGTTTAACAAAAAAATCTCATAACATCCGATAAGTAAGAAAAAAAGTACATAAAATCTTTACTAAAATAAAAAAGGTTTTATTTATTATCTAATTGTATGGAAATCTGTTCTGATTTTATGGTACGTACTACAAATTGATCACCCGTGTTCAGAAGCTACTTAACGGGTAAGCTTTGTGGAAATGACTCATTAGTGCTTATGTCCTGTGCATAAGGTATGTATTTGTATTACACATACTAGAAAATTGTGCACGGAGCATGAGCTTTGTACTAATAAATGATCATAAAATTGTGCACCACGTGTATCACCCGTGTTCACATTTTGACCTATTACAGTTCACGTACTATATATATCCCGTATATTTTTATATTTATTTATATAATTATAAGACTGGATAAATGACCTTAAAATTGTGCACCCCGTGCATCGCACGGGCTCTGTACTAGTAAAAAAAAAGAAAAGGAAATGAGCACATCATCATAAAAGCCATGATTTTCATTTTCATGAACTAAAATGGTAAACTCTCATAATCATTGCACCTCTTAATTTTTGCCATTAAAATTTAATAAATTATAAAAAGGGGGAATAAAGAAAATTTGCATTTTTATTTTTTTTTTCAAATTCAACGAGGAAAAATTCAGTCATTGCACATGAACATTTCACCCGTTGTTTACACACAAAAAAAAAACACACTCACATGAGTATGTATGAAATTGAAATCAAACATTAAAAAAAATGAAGTTGTAATGTGTAAGTGTAAAAAACTTTAAAGACAGCTTGCAATGAGGCAAAAACTTCACCAACCAATTTCCTTTTTTTTTTCAGCCTTTTAGTTCTCTCTTTTAATAAATCTTGTGGAAAATGTTTTGCGAACCATTCTGCCGGAATTTGTAACCGATTACATGATGACCTAACAGTTACGAACTTCGACGGAATGGTTCCGTAACTGGACCGACGCATTTCCCAAATCTTCCACTCTTTATAATCACTATCCCCACTCTTTTTATATCTCCACTTTTCAGTATCATTAAAATAAAATCAGAAGAAAGTACATATATATATATATATATGTAGAACGAGAGTCAGAATTAGGCCAAATTTTAGAAATTGAGAATAATATTAGCATAAAAAGGGCTTTTTATTTTTGGGAGGGCTGAGTATTTTCCCCCTCTTTTTGTATTTTGGCATTTGTGTTCTTGCATTTTTTAGGGTTTGTTGTAGCCCTTTGGATCTTTTATTTTATTTTATTTTTTTATTTATTTTTTGTCACCAGAGATTTTGTGCCTCCAGCAAAAGGATAATTCTGCTAATTTTATTTTGGGAGGGCTGGATTTTCTGCTAATTCTAATTGAGGTACTTTTTTATTTTATTTTTTTAATTAATGCTTATATTGGTTGGAGTTTTTCTCCCCTGTTTCTGATTCAAGAGAAAAAACCCTTCAAATATGTTAGGGAAAATGTGGAAAAGTTTGAATCTTTGTAATTATTTTTACAAGAAAAAATAAAAAAATGAAAAAATAAAATAAAAAGAATCATTCTTTATTTTTGCATCATTTTGTTGTTTATTTTTTTTTTTTCTTTTTTCAAGCCATAATTTATTATCTTCTCATGATTTTAAATTATTTCAGTGTTTGATGAAGATTTTCAGTATCCCAATTCAAAAGTTTGGATTTTTTTTTTTTTTTTTTTTTNNNNTTTTTTTTTTTTTTTTTTTAAGTTCTTGGTAGCACAATTTGAAAAAATTACCTACTCAAAATCTGTAAAGCATAAATATTAAAAGCCATTTTTTTTTTCTTGTTGCTCTAATTTTAGTACATCAATATATAGTAAAAGTTATTTCATTATACTTGCTCTGTCATTTTTTTGTTCTCAACTCTTTTGTGCTTTTATTCTTAGGTAAAAAAAATTATATATTGGAACAATGGTGCCTAATATGGTGGATGAGATTGACTGTGCAAACTTCTTCGATCAAATCGATGACTTGATCGAGTTCCCACCCGGCATTGAATGTGGTGTTGAAGGTAATTTTGTGGGGTTGTGTGATTCGAACGATTTTCCGAGCATGTGGAGCGACCCGTTTCCTTCATCTGACCCGTTGTTTCCTGGCGATGCTCCGTCTGACCTCTCGACTGAGCTCTCGGTTCCGGTGAGCATTGCCCCTTTTCGGTCCATTGCAATTAGTTAACTGACTTAACTCGAAAGGCAGATGATTTTGATTGCAAGTTTGGGATTGTTTTGTTAATGCTAAAGCTATTATTATTACTGTTGTGTTAAGAAAAGTGTGGCATCATCTTTTGTTGAAGTAAATCAGGTTATATTTACCGAGTGCAATATGATCAAAGACTTTATATTTATAATACTAATGCAGAAAATTTACTTCAATTTTGGGTACTTTCAACATGTTGCATTCACATATAATGCTGTTAGGGAGATTTTGAGTCTTCAAACCGTGCAGGTTTTGTTCGAAATGTTTCGGTTTTTTTTAGGAGTAAAATTCACTCTTTACTGTGCTATGTTTAACTTATTTCTCATCTGATTCACTCTATATATTGTCTTGCTTCCCAGTATGAAGATATCGTGCAACTCGAGTGGCTCTCGACTTTTGTCGAGGACTCGTTTTCGGGCAGTGGACTGACCATCGGGAAAGACCACCCGTACACGAAAAAAACCGAGCACCCTCAAATCGAGAGCCGCACGACCAGCAGCAACAGCTGCACCTCTTCTTGCTCGGGTGAAAAGGCAGCACTTCTCAGCCCAAATCCTCATCCCGGGCCTCAACGGGCCCGCAGCAAGAGACCCAGGCCCACAACCTTCAGCCCAAGGCACATCGAGAGTTTCGCTGAGTTGGGCCTGGGCTCAGACCAGAAGAAGAAGAAGAATTACAAGAATAAGAAAATCAGAATCTCTCCACCAGTGGATGGATCCGAATGCCCGGTGGTCCGGAAGTGCATGCACTGCGAGATCACAAAGACTCCACAGTGGCGGGCCGGCCCAATGGGCCCGAAGTCACTGTGCAATGCTTGTGGGGTCCGCTACAAGTCGGGAAGGCTCTTCCCAGAGTACCGACCGGCCGCAAGCCCCACATTTGTCCCGGCCATGCACTCGAACTCCCACAAGAAGGTCCTCGAGATGCGGTGCGGAGATGGGCCCGGGCCCACGGGCGTTGTGCCACGGGCCTCAAAGCCCAAACCTGTTCGGAGTCCATGATATGTGTTTTTACTTCTTTATCCCTTTCGTTTCGTCGCTATGTATCGCTGCATGAAATTCGTGCTCGTGTCTTGTGAGTTGCTTTCGATTTCTATTGTTCGTTGGTTTTTTGTATAGTAGTGTAATGCGGGGTGGGCGAGTAGGAGGGTTAGAACGGTAATTTAGCTCCGGTAGGGAGGAGGAAAGATAAATTTGAGGAGTTATATAGGAAGTTTTTTAAGAGAGGGAGGAGGAAGATTAGAACTTATTAGGTGAGATGAGGTTTGGCATTGGATTTAGGTTTCATTAGAATTTATTTTAAACGAAATGGCTTAATTTGTGAGAATAACTCTCAAACCATAATTATATTTCCAATCCTACATTTATTACAAATGAATAGACTTAGTTATATTTCCAATCCTAACATAATTACAAATGAAATGACTTAGTTTAATGACTTAGTTTAGTTTTAGTGTGAACAATGAATTTTAACATTCATGACTTAGTTTTGGTGGTGCACACATTGTCTTGCAATGAATCTAACATTTATTACACAACTTCCAATGAATTTAACATCCATTACACATGTAATGGCCTAGGTTCTTTGGAATTAACTCAAATGAATTTAATACTCCTTTAGTGCTATTAATCAAATAAACGACATTTTGAATTTTTTTTATACATATTTTTCCATTGGTATTTTCATTTAACTAGTACACTACACGTTTCGGGATGAAGATTGTGTAATATGATGAATTTTCTTTTAACCGAACATAAAAAGCTAAAAATAAAGAAATTAATTGAGGTTACTTTGACAATAAAAAAATTCTTAATTTATGTGTAACGTTTAAAAAGAATAAAAAGAAATATTTATTAAATTTTTGTGGAATTAATTAATTTAACATTTTGTTCAATACCAATTTTCTTCAGGCAGAAAATCACCATTTTTGTTCAATACCAATTTCTTTTCCGGCAGTAAATCACCCCATTTTTGTTCAATGCGAATTTACGAATTTATGTTGGAACTGCATCACTTCTTTGTTCAAAATTTAAGCCAAAACTCCATGGAATTTCATACGTTTTATTTTTTATTTTTTTCATAATTAATAATGTATATTTTTTTGTATAATGTGTAAATAAAATAATCTCCACATCTTTATATATATAATATTGTTAGTACTAGCATACTATAGTGATAGTAACAATTTGATGACTTACATTAATTCACTATAATTTTCTAGATGTTGTAGGTATTATTTTCGAGATGTAGGAAATACCGATAATGTTCTAATAAATAAAGTAATCTTAATATAAATAAACTATATATGTGCAAGATAAGATATTTCATTAAATTACAATTTTGGTAATAAAATTAATTTAAAATGATGAGATAAAATGTGAATATCCATGTAGAGTAAAATGTAGATTGTAGAGTAAATTCTACGCGAGATAATAGCCGGAGGTGGTCTAAGCTTCCGACAATGGTCACCTCCGGAAGTTTCTAGAAAGAAATCCGCAGACTGCTCACAAATGCAAATGTGCGTGGGGATGTCGACTTCCCGAAGAGCGAACACCACCGGGGAAGCTTCTCGAGAACCTTTTTATACTGTGGTGTCAACTTTTCGACATCCGTTCTGAGTCTCAAAAGGGTTCTATTGTCTTTACCTGCAGCATCAGAAACTTTCACGTGCGTGCTATTTTGGGACCAAAAAAGGGAGAGGGCAAACTTGGTTGGGGCCCTTTTACCGCCCGAGAACTGAATAGTGTGCCACCCGTCGACACTGCTCTTTTCGCCAGCCGAGATCAATTCCTCAGAAGTTTCTGAGTC